AACCGCAGACGAAACTGTTGCAATCTCCTTGTCCGATTTTTCCGTTTCTTGCTCCATTTCTTTTGAATATTCCTACAACAAACCAAATTTGAGGATTAAAAACTGCAACTTATTTACTATCTCGCTTGTTTTCTAGGTTAGTGTTCGAGTTTTTTTTCTGTTATCACTTGATTAATCACTATATGAATCAAAATTTGTATTGACTACTAGATATAATTTTTAGAAGGTTTTTCGTCATTTGTGACAACAAGTGGAAATTGTGGAATATTATAATATGTTGCATGTCTTATCGATCGTCGTAATTGTTTGTAAACTAACGTTAACGACAACAAAACTGACGAGAGCACTCTTTTTAAGTAGACGTACGTAAACTTACTTTATCATCTAATTAAGTCAATCAACACAACTTTGATAAAAAAAAGAAAATAAGAGTTGAGGTGGAGAAATCGATTATAGGCCAACAAATAAAAGCCAAAAGAACAAAAAAAAAACTAATTTGTTTGTCTTAAAAGGTTTCACTAACTACGTATGGTCCTCTGGTAGCATTGCATTCCATGGATTCTACGAGATCTGAGTTCGAATCCACCTACACTTAGATTATTACAATGCGTGATCATCGGAGTTTTCACATTCTCTCTCCGGAAAATGGTTTACCATTTTTTTTTCTAAAGGTTTCACTGAATTAAGACTCATTTATATAATCATATAGCAATGAGCATGAAATGTTTGATTATGATATTTGACTAAACTTAAAATTATGTATGTTTATTGCAGAAAAAATCCTTATAAACTTGTTTTTGAAACTCTGATCAGTTTGACTAATTTCCACAGTAATATGTTTCCTGTAAAATGCATGAAAAGTAAAAAAAACAAATAGAACTCTTACCTCATCTAGCAACTGCGCTCGTAGGGTATCGGCACTTGTATTACACTGCCTTCCAAGTTTACTTGCCATGTACGCCTCCATTGGAGAAACCTTTTTCTTGACCTGAGGTCAAAATTATATCAGAGAGGGCATTATATAAGGAACCGTAACATATAATCTGTTACAAACTGAATTTTATTTGGGTTAACTTTTTCTATCACAAGATAGATTGAAAATAATTATAACCAAAGTCAAGGGTATGACCCACCTGATCCATGGAAGATGTGGTTCAGGATCTCCAATTTCAATATATATCTTTCAAATTCAACAAATAGAGAAAGAAAAGTTGAGTGAGATCAAATCAGAAGTAAAAAAGTAAAGATCTGATTCACATATAAAGAAAGAAAAAAATCAAGAAGGGTGTTGAGTCAGTCACAAGACTCACATATATAAAGAAAAAACAGTTAGTTGAAAGATTTGACTTCTTAGTCAAAACAAACAAGGAACAACGCACTAACCTGCTGCAACAAAAGAAAGAAAACATATAAAATCCAGACTACAGTGGTTCTCCTCTTTCAATAACCAAAAGAAAAACAAAGAAAGGATGGTTCTCGTCTGTTTTTTGAGAGATTTTAGAAAACCAAAAAAAAAAAAAAAACAGGTTTGTTACAAGAAGAAACCAATAATTGACAAGGGCAGTGGAACTGTGGAAGTAGTTAACTATTTAGGTTCGGAATGATAATCTGCTGGATAACTGCACTCCAAGTGCGATGCGATTCAAATATTAACAAAAACATATAAATACATAGGTATATATAGATTTTTGAAAAAAAAAACATATAATTACATAGGTATATATAAAAAAAAAAATATATATATATATATATAGATTTTTGTTACTATTTACATTGGTGCGGCGAGAGCAATCTGAGAAGCGAGTTAGTCAAGTAGAATCTCAGTTATACCCTTGTCTCAATCCACTTATTACGTTTCTAGGTTGCCTTCCAAGTGAAGAGCTTCCCCCCCATATTACAGTTAGTTGGACAGAGATTGAGTGATGTCAGCATGTAACGTTATCATTCGGAAGGACAAGAGATGATCCCAAACTAATAAGATAAACACTCTATTCATGTCGGTTAAACCTGTAATGGATAACTAGAACAAGCTTTCTAGATATACAACGACGCCAATAGTTTTTTTTGTTGTTGCTAATCCTGAGCTACATTACTTTGTATAGCTCTTTAGAATCCAAGGGAGGAAGGCTTACTTGTGATACAAGAAAGCTTGTAACGGTTGTTAATAGTACTAATACATTTGTCTTCGATATTCCACATTCTGTTCTGCATTAAATGATCAGTGTTTTTCTTTATATATAAGGATTGATATATTTTTGTGCATGTAACGGAACCAGTAGCACATGGATATTGCTTTTTAGTGTTCAGAGCTATATCAAAGGATCAAAATTTGCTTCAGATAGATCATAATCAGTCGACATAATGAATATTCATAGTACATCATTGAAAGGGGGAAAGATCGTGCGCAATGACGTCATATTGTCCCAAACATCGTTTAACGATATAGTGGGTTGCTATTTCTTTTCTGTATATCTGCCCATCTTTCTTTTCTTATATGGTGTGGCCTCCACAAGTGTCCGAAACTGTGGTATTTAAGAACTGTCGTGTACGATGAATTCTATGGTCTAAACGGGCTTATCAATTTTTAACTGTGATTGTTGACCGTAATATATAAACATGATCTTTCTTGTGACCGTTTCCAATAAGTTTTTAGATTCTATTTTGTTCAATCTACACAATTTGCAAATTTTCGTAAAGGAATTCTCACGTTAATTTAAGCGGTTAATATCAGTATTATTTTTAATAAACTTTTATATATAATTTATTAAATAATTAAAATTAGAAACGAATTTTCAGTTAAGAATATTTGTTTTATATGCTATATTAGATGATCATAAATTAATAAATAAAATTATCAAAAATTATATATTTTTTCAAAAAAAAAATTCTTACATATATTTGATTATTATCTGAAAACATTTTTTAAACATAAGAAAAATTAAGTAATAAGAAGGTGTATAAACAAAAATCAGTTTTTGTAAAATTTTAATATTGTTATTTGCAAAGTAATTTTCATATTTTAATAATAAATATAATAATAAATATTTGCAACATGATTATGTTTGAATGAATGGACAAAACATCTAGATTTTTTGTATTTTATATAGCATACTTTTTTTTTGTCAACTTATAGCATACTTTATTGTCCTACTTAGATGAGCGATCGATCATATATATTGGTAAATGGTTATGTCCTAACAAATAATATCAAGTTTTCGTCTAGCCGTATCTTATATATTAAAATAGAAGTCACAACCTTGATTTATGTGTAATTTTTTTTTTTAAGTGACTATTCCTTAGAAAAATTATCATGATTATCAAATGTTATATAATTTAATAAATTTAGTGATAATATCTTTGAATATCTTTATCTTTCTATTTGAAATATAAATGAAATAAATCCAACAAAATCTTTTTAGAATCTTTTTAAATTATATTTCCATAAATCATTGAATTTAAGTTATAACTATCATAAAATATCACTAAAATTATTATTTTGATTTATAAATGATAATTTAAAATTATCTTTTATAATATTTTAAAGAGAATAATAATATAAATTTATGAAGTTTCGAAAATACTTTCTTAAAAAATTTAAATAGATTTTGTTGGAAACAAATACTGAAATTATCTTTCAAATATACAAAAAATAAAATATTATATATGTATCTATCTAAAAATAATTCATGAGTTATTTCATGTGTAATTTTTTATTTGGACCATTCTTTAAAACAAATATCATATTTTACATGATTTAATTATTATATCACACCATATCTTTATCTTTTATTTGAAATACAAATGTTTTTGCTTAAGAAATTAAAATTTATCTAGATAGCATTATATATTCCTAAAATATGAAGAGAAAACTATATATTTTAGAGTCTGACCCACACAAATTTTTCATTTTATAAATATAAAACTTTAATATTATTACAAAAAATAAATATATGATTTACAATTAATTTTATATCTTAAATAACTCTCTAAATTTGTTGTCTAAGTTTCTTATTCGTCATTATTAATATATAGTAGTTTGTTTTATATATTTATTTTATATTCTTATTAATTGTTATTACTTAATAATATATTTTTGAGTTTGATACATAAATTATAATCTGAAATAATATATATATTTAATATAATTTTTTTCTACAATTTTCATACAATATATTTTTAAATTTATTTAGATATACTATAGATAGATATTTGCTTATGATAAGTTATATTTTCATGTTTTGTTTAAAAATAATAATTTAACATCTGTCATTTTAGTATATTACGAGATTTTATAAGTAAATATATTTTTATCTATTGAACTTTTTTATAAACTATAAATAAAAAGAAAACCCGCACAATCTAGTTATTGGGTTAATTATGAGGTCACATGTGGGATCATATAGCTAATGGACTACATCTAGATAGTATTTTCTAATCCAGTTGATACATTGGCAGTAGTTGATCCGAGCCGTCGAAACTATAGGTACATCTCAAAGGCTTTGAAGCAACACGTGGCCGAACGACACAAAGATAAGAGCCCACAAATGTTGGTTCACCAACCCCCGTGGACCCTATAGCTGACGAGTCCACATCAGAAAGGAGATTTTCTTCCTTTTAAAGCTTACAAATTCTTCATTTTTGTCATTGGTTAAACTGATTTTATTTCTTTCTCATTTAATTTTATATTTGAAAAACTTCAATATAAACATGCTTTTCATAAATGAAAGATCAAATTAAGAACAATTCATATAATTTCACATAAATTCTAATAATGAGAGCCGCATATATAAAAAGTAGAAAGAAATTATTTTCTAGAAGTTAACCTTATTTCAACGACCAAAGACATAAAAAGCTTTGACTAATTTTGTCAAAAAAATACACAAATTTACACTAAATTAACTGCCAATTATTTTAAGCCACATACTTACGCATGCTTTTGGTTTCCAACTTTCTCTATATATAATAAACACAATACACACGCATTATCGGCAACAGGGTGCAAAGAAAGCAAAAGAGTATTACAAACAGAGAAAGAAATCAAGAATGGGTAAAATGGAGGTTGAGAGGAAAACAACAGGCTGGGCTGCGAGAGACCCATCTGGTTTACTCTCTCCTTACACCTACACTCTAAGGTTCATTTTCTCTTCTTTCGATCTATGTATATGAATCTTTCTTGGTCTAAATCTGATCGTATATTTTACAGAGAGACAGGACCAGAGGATGTACACATCAGAATCATTTGCTGTGGAATCTGTCACACCGATCTTCATCAAACCAAAAATGATCTTGGCATGTCGAACTACCCCATGGTTCCTGGGTAACTCTTCTTCTTTTTGATCTCCTTATAGCCAAGAAAATCTATAATGAATCTAAAATTAAGATGATCATGTTCTTTAGGCACGAGGTTGTAGGGGAAGTGGTGGAGGTGGGGTCAGGTGTGAGCAAGTTCACCGCAGGGGATATAGTTGGAGTTGGTTGTCTCGTTGGATGTTGTGGAGGTTGTAGCCCATGCGAGAGAGATCTGGAACAGTACTGTCCCAAGAAGATCTGGAGCTATAACGATGTTTACATCGATGGCCAGCCTACACAAGGCGGTTTCGCTAGAGCCACCGTTGTTCACCAAAAGTGAGCTTATTCTTTTCTTTCCTAACGTTATGATTTTCTATATTATAGAACTAAATATCTTGGTTTAATCTAGTTATATTGGGTTTGAGGTAATTGTTTTTTTTTAATTAAATATCTTAATAGTTTGTGTTATCTGACTAATTTACAAGATGATTAGCTGAAAATCATGTGTTTAAACTCTGTGATAATCTTGGTCTTGTTCAACTAACAATCTTGATTTTGTTCGATTTTAATATTCAAACTACTAAAGACTGTAAAGATTTTAAAAACCATTAATAAATTGTGTTAAAAAAAGGAAAAGAGAAATGAAACTATTATTAAATTATTATATAGTCGAAATGCTATATTTATTAAAATATTATGTCGTCTAAACGCTATATGCATATGAATTTGAGTATTTTTAAAATAACAATCGACCTTAAAACCGGATCATTAGGTTTTGGGTTCTTGTGAAACAAGTTAGGGTTTGTATTGCTAAAGGGTCAATTCATGGTCAGGTTTGTGGTGAAGATTCCAGAAGGAATGGCGGTTGAGCAGGCGGCACCACTACTGTGCGCCGGTGTGACCGTGTACAGTCCACTGGCTCACTTCGGTCTGAAGAAACCAGGCCTAAGAGGAGGCATACTAGGGCTAGGTGGAGTTGGTCACATGGGTGTGAAAATAGCCAAAGCAATGGGTCACCATGTAACCGTCATAAGCTCATCAAACAAGAAGAGAGAAGAGGCTTTGAAAGATCTTGGAGCAGATGAATACGTGATCGGATCCGACCAAACGAAGATGAACGAATTGGCTGATTCAATGGATTACATAATCGACACGGTCCCTGTTCATCATGCACTTGAGCCTTACTTGTCTCTGCTTAGGCTTGATGGGAAACTCATACTCATGGGAGTCATCAACCAGCCCTTGCAGTTTATCACTCCTATGGTTATGCTTGGTGAGTCATTATAAAAACACTAACTGAATAATAATTAATGTAAAAACAAGTGATGACGGCCTAGTGGTTTTGAGAGAGCTTCGGCCCCAATACGGATCCGGGTTCGCATCCCGCTGGCCATTGGGGGTAAAATTTAAAATCTGGGCTCCCCCCGCGTGCGGTGACCAAGGCATACTCCGACCGATAACGTAGACTGATACGGACACTCGCCGCTAGTCTGAATCCACCTTGGTGGATGCCAGGATACACCGGGTTCACTACAAGAAAACACGTCCTTTACTAGGACGGGTTTTCCTCGTTATTTCCTAGTAAAGGGCCCTTTACTAGGAAATAGCGAGGAAACGTGTTTCGTCGAAAGACGTTCATCGTAAAGGCTATTTTCCTCGTAAAGGCCTAGCTAATTTACGAGGAAAGATTTCCTCGTAAAGCCGTGGAAAACATTTCCTCGTAAG